CACCCCCTCAGCAGGTCGGCGCCCTCCTTGACCCCCATCGGACCTGCAACATCCTATTTCAGCAACCCGAGAGTCAATGACAGCAGCAGAAGACAACAAAAGGACAGCAATAAAGCAGCAGCGAGGGTGAGGATTGCAATGAGGACGAGGATGACAGCGAAGAGGAGGACGACGGCAAGGATGCAGCAAAGAGGACAAGGACGAGGATGCAACACAGCGAAGAGGACGAGGACACAGCGAAGAGGATGAGGACGAGGAAGCAGCAAAGAGGACGAGGATGAGGACGAGGAAGCAGCAAAGAGGACAAGAACAAGGTCGCAGCAAAGAGGAGGAGGACGACGGCGAGGATGCAGCAAAGAGGACAACGATGACAACGAGGATGCAGCAAAGAGGACAACGATGACAACGAGGATGCAGCAAAGAGGGTGACGGTGAGGACGCAGCGAAGAGGATGATGGCGAGGATGCAGCGAAGAGGACGACGACGAGGACGCAGCAAAGAGGACGATGATGACGAGGGCACAGTGAGAGCGGGGACAGCGGTCAGCGGCGTCGATAGCCTACCCACTGCTCGTCGTTAATGAGTGTCGTGAAGGTTATTCACAACACTCTTTTCCATTAGGCTAGTTGACTGGTGGGATTATTGCCACCTTGTAGCATGTATCTTTATTATTTGCTATTATACATATTTTTTTGCAAAAATTTCTGGGGGACAAGGAGATGCCCGACATCGCTGGGCATCGTGACAGACAACAACAGCGAGGCTTGGTGACAGGCTCACGGAGCAGCCGGCATGCTGGCTTGATTACTTTTTGGCATGTCATCCAAAACCCTCATCATCCATCCACCCCTTCCCACTGTCTTTGAGGTGCGGAAAGACCATTTATAGGCAGGGAAAAAATCAGGGACATGCTGGTGGTGTCCCCAACGCCCGACACATGCCCCACGATGAGCGGGAGCTATTTCGAGGCCCCGAGCACTGTTGTGAGCAGTGTTTGGCACATTGTTTGCCTCACCCACTCCCCATCACTGGTGCTGAACACCCGGCAACACAGCTCTCTCGTCTCGAGGCCATCCTAAACAGGCAGGTAGGAAACTGCCCTCCAGGGCTTAACTTTTAACTTAGGTTACTACCTATAATTTCTATAAATTTAAAGCAGATACAGGTGAGAGGGCGAGGGCGAGAGCCAAAGGGTGAGAGGCGGACGAGGTGGGTGAGAGGGTGAGGCAGGGCGAGGCAGATGACGGAGGTGGACGAGGGGCGAGGGCGGGGGTGAAGGGTGCCTCTGCCGCCGCCATCATCATTCCCCATTGTCGTCGTCGTCATGTCCCCCATTGTTGTTGTCATTCACCCGCCATGGTCATGCCCTTGTCGTCATTGTGCCCTCGCCGTCGCTGTCGTCCTGTGCCTGCCGTTGTCGTCTTGCGGCTGCCGTTTCCATCCTGGTCAAGAGGGCGATGGTGGGCGAGAGGGTGGTGGTGGGCAAGCGGGCGGCCATGGGCAGGAAAGTGTCCTAGCCCACATCCCTGTCGCAAGGGGAGGGGCCATTTCTTTGGGCCATCATCGATGTGGATGGGCTTCTGTGAGGGCAGATGTTGGTTAGTAGGGATGTATGTACATAAGAAAGATATATACTTACATTTTTTTTGCGTTGCGGGCTCGTTTCGTCATGAAGGGTTGAGGGAGGTGGTGGAGAAAGACAATGTTGAACATTGTTGATTGCGGTTCAGCAGGATTCGGCTGCCCATCCCATTGGCTGGGATCGTCGGCCCAATCCTGTTTCCGTTCCACTGGTCGACAACGGAATGTCTCCGATGGATGCAAAACATGTTGTATCTCTATTAAAACATTTGAAATTGTTATTAGTATACAGATTCATATATAAACGTAGTTTCAAGAAAATATAGCAGATTTTAAATATTTTATGAGGGAATTCATCTCAGGCTCATGCCAATTAGGGGACTCTCTCATCCGTATGTCAATTCCAAGAGGCAGAAGAAGCCAAATAAATATATAAAAATGATATACAGACTGGCTAATTATGATTGTATTGAGGAATAGAGCTCCCCTGATGAAATCATTAATTTTAGAATGTATACTAAGAATCTATGAACAACGATGTGGAATCTGATGTGAAACTGACTCAAGGATGTGTCAATTTTCAGACACCAGCACATATCACAGGATCTACATAGGAAATGTAGGCCAAAATTTTGATATGTTGTACTTACTTATCTACAGATGCAATATATAAAGTTATTGTGATGCTTCAACTGCTCGAACGAGTGGTATTTGGCATGTTGGAACATCGGGTGACCGTAAATCACCATGCAGAAACTGTAATTCAGGCTCTTAGCTCGTTCTTACCGTCAGATAATATTCGGACATCCATACATACATAGAGGACAGTAGTTTTATTAATTACTGATAATTGTTCAAAGGATTTTCTTCATATCTCCACTGTATAGGCTGTTCCGGGGTTGATGAGTGGAACGCGGGCTGGCCGGACCGCTGGCCTCAGCCAATCAAATTGCTCACGGCGTTCACCGGATAAGCGATCAATGACGACAAGTGTTGTTGATCTCAGCTTCAACCACCACCTGGTGCTCCCCCACTCAGTCCAACACCTCAAATGAACCCCTAGGACTGAAAAAAAAGGTGAGCAGTATGTTTATCTTTACAATTATATACTCTAACATGCATTTTTATTCAAATTAGGCAAACGAACATCGACTTAAAGTCGACGTTCGTTTTCTCCACCTCTTGGGCCCCTCCCCTGCCATAGGGATGTGGGCACAGCGCCACTTCCCCTCTGGCAACCTAATCCCCATCCCAATCCTCTGTACCACCCCCTTCCTCCTTGCTCTCGCACCCATCGGCCCACTGCCTATCACCCACCCCTCTCCTTCGACAGGGATGTGGGTCTTGCCCCTCGTCTGACCCACCCACCGACACCGGTTGCACAACGGGGTGAGGATGACAACGGGGTGACCACTACGACAGGTGGGAACCATGACGGGCAGGCACCAATGGGCTCAGCCCATAGAGCGGTTGACCCCGGCGTGCATTCTGGTCAGGCTTTTAGCCTGTCAGTATGTCGCGCTCTTCAAGAGTGGTTTGAGGCGGATGATCTCCGTCGCATTACCTTCGTCTACGTCCCTTCCGCTATGCGGTGGGATATCCATGGTGAAGCACACAAGTACGTCACCGAACTCAAAGTCAGGGTTGGGCGTCGCAAGACGGACAACTCCATAGACGCGCTTCGCTCTCGAGCTGCGCACTCAGTCCTGGATTCGTGGAGTTCCACTTTCCAGGATCCAACCTACCGAGGCTCCGAATTCTTAGAGCTTCAACAGCCTGACGGGCGGCCGCTACAGCCATCGTACCTCAATGGGGGACCTTGGCTCTCAACCTTCGGACACAGTATTACTGAGTTCGCTCGCGTTTGCCGGTGCATAACTGGCCACGCGCCCATTGGAGCGTATTACCGTCGCTTCAAGATCAACGAGCCTCATGGCTGCACTTGCGGGGCTGCTTTGCAGTCCCGCCAGCATATCCTCTTTCGCTGTCGCGACAGATATTCTGTACACTATCCCCGCTTTCTCGGGGATATTGCATCGTTTATGAAGTACAACCCTACGGCGTTTGGCTTCAACCGGGACCCGTCGGGTGTCGGATAATCGTGGTGGGCGGGGTTGTTCCTCCTTTCGGGGGATTTATGGTGAATTGACACCACCGAGCTCTAGGGTTCGAAGACCTGCGCCTACCGCTATTTCTTCGCGCTTGCGGCCGCTATTGTAGCGGGTTGCGGCGCCGCTAATTTTCTGCGTCTGGTTTCGGGCAGGCGCTTCTCTGGCTTGTCGGCCTCAAGACACTCCGCCACCTCCCGGGTGGTGCTTTTCTTATCTCATTTGCGCTGCATGGCCTCCGAACAGCGATCGACGACTTTGGGGCGTAGCGGAACCTCGATGGTTTCCTCCCCTTATCCCGATGCACCGTTTTCGCGAGGTGGGTTGCCCTCTGGGGAGTTTCGGCGTTTGAGCCCAAAGGGTCTTGGTTGGGGGGGCGGTCGTCCTTTAGTGGTTTACTTAGTAACCAGGCTGCGTAGCGTACGTGTTTGTAGATAGCAAGCGGGCTGCCATCGAGCACCGCTATATAAATTGTTGATCAAAAAAAAAAAAAAAAAAAAAAAAAAAAAAAAAAGACGGGCAGGCACCACAATGAGGCAACGGGCACCACAATGAGGCAGGCACCGCAACAGGGAAATCACACAATGAGCCCGCTTGCCTTCGCCCTGTGTTTGCATTCGCCGTTCCAACCCCCCCTGTTTGCCCTCACTTGCCCTTTCAACCTTTGCCCCCCATTTCAACCTTTGCCCCTCCCCTCGACCTTTGCCCCTCCCCTCGACCTTCATCTGCCACCCGTCGCCCATTGCCCTTCACCCGTCACCCATTGCCCTTCGCCCTTCGCCCTCTCACCATCACTCGCCTCTCACCCTCCACTCCTCGCCCTTCACCTTCAATCTACTATGACATGACACAGGGCACAGAACAACAAGAACAGCCACGGGAGGCCCAGGATTCGGACGACAATGACACAGCAGGATGATGATGGCAGGGGGCACAGCAGGACAATGGCGGCAGGGGGCAATGACAGCAGCGGGCACGAGAGGGTGACAGCAGCAGGCACAGGACGACAATGGCAGACAACAGCGGGGGGCACAGGATGTCAATGGACATCAACCCGCCCTCTCGCCCTTGCCCTTGCCTTTGCTCTCGCTCTCTGTTCTCCCTTGCCCCTTGTTTACCCTCGCCCACTGTTCTGACCTTTGCCCTGCCTCTCGCCCTGCCCCTAGCCCTGCCCCTCACCCATCACCCTTGCCCTTTGCCTCCTGTTCAGCACCCACCACCAGCAGCTCAAGCAGAAGGTGGAGAACAAGGAGGGGGGAGCGCAAGCACACGAACACCCCCCACAAGCACCTGAAGAGGCCCAACGAGTGACAACGGGGGCGAACGAGCAGAGGAGGGAACAGAGGGGGGCCCCACCGAGCACAGGAGGGGGAGGAGGGAGGCCCACGAACAGAGGAGGCAGCAGAGGGGGCAGAGGGGCGGGCAGGTGGGGACTGTACCTGTCTCTCTGAGCAGAAACGGTGCACTATGGTGCACCGTTTCTGCTCATTTTACCTATTTTCCATAGCGGGTGGCTAGTAAGGCCACCCGCATCCTGTATTTTCTTTTTGTACAATTTAATATGATTTTTTTGCTTTTTTTTTTGCTGGAAGAGCAGGGACCAGGACCAGAGCAGAAACAACGTGTTGTTTCTACTCATTCTCCATAGTGGGTAGCTGGTAGAGCCACCTACACTACGTATATATCTATTACAATTTAATATGATTTTTTTGTATTTTTTTTTTCATGTGCTTTGAGGTGCTCCCGAGCTCGCCGGGCATCATGACAGACGACAGTGAGACGATCGCATTGGATGTGGCATAGCAATTACAATATTATCTAAAAATAGCTATGGGACCTGAAAAAAGGCTGTGTCATCCAAACGCACCTGGCCCAATCCATCCATTCCCGCCCCCGACAATGGGGGAAACAGTGCACAACAACGAGGAAATATGTTTCCTCGTTATTGGCACCTTTTCCCTGTTGAAAACGGTGGCGGGAACGCCGCAAACAACAAGGAAACAATGCTCAGGCATTGTTTCCTGTGTTGTTTGCTCATGTTGATGGGTCCCGCTCAAAGCATTGAGCCCCAGCATGCACAGCAACGGCCTCTCCATGGGTGGACTGTTTAATCACAGTCCTGACATGTGAGTATACCCTGCTTAAATACAGTATTTGATACAGATTTCTAGCAGACATGGCTGCCTTAAGGGCACTCAACAATTCATGCTCCGAAAAGTCAGCCCACTCACGGACCGGCTCGTCAGGAAGCTCGTCTAAGACTGAGGCATCGTACTCGTGACCAGAGGCCGAGTTGTACGTGCCGTGTAGGGCGTCCCAGAGGTCATCCATATCATGACAAGGCTGGTCACCATTGCGAATAGCCTCACAGGGTGGTAGCTTGCGCTGTTTTACCCATTCCATCAGGTCCCATGGGCGCTTGCAAGAGGTAGCGATCTCCGCGATGTGTTCATCAAAGAAATCACGCTTGGCGTCTTTGCATGCCTTCTTAAACTTGTTGTAATCAGCGAGCGAACAACTCAACTGATACACTCCAAATGTTTCTGAGCACTCGTCTGTCCACCAGGACTTGGAGCACTTGGTAGGTTTGGACTCGGTCGAATGGGCAAGCCACATGTCTGAGAACGCTGTCACGATAGCATCAGCTAAAGCTTCAATGCCTTCCTTGGTAGCTGGGGCTGTGACAGGAATAGCCGCAAGATCCTGGAGAATGTCTGAAATGAAAGACTTCTCAGCCTCGCTTCCGGGTTTAATTGTCCATCACCCAGATCCAGGCGGTTTGGGACCGATATCAAGATCTGTACAGATTGGGACATGATCTGACAGACCCTGGAGATTGTGCTCCAATCTGGGCATCGAGATTAAGATCTCAGATGGAGCTAAGAATACAAGATCCAAGATGTTGGATCTCTGGTTTGGATTGGGACTGATCCTCGTCGGTCCGTGATTAGAAGGTTGTGCCCACTCGAGGCCAATCTGAGATGCGGTGTCCCATGGGGATACTTCCATCGACAACTCGCCATGCTCATAGTCATCCCAAGTCATTGAAACACAGTTAAAGTTGCCTGCCATGTGATGAAAGGCGGTAAAGAATGCACACGAGCGGATAAGTGCTCAATGGCTGTGTGTTGATCATGAGAGTAGACATTCATGAGGTTGAGAACCTCACCCCCACTGAAGAGGGAGAGGACGAGGATGTTGCAATGGTCGATGATGTCGCGGCACATAGCAGGGCAAAAGCGGGAGAGCCTAGTTGAGACATAGGCAATCATGTGAGGGACTTCCCCCTCCTTAATGCACTTCTATAAGCTACCTGAAGACATCAAATACTGTATTTAAGCAGACTTAAGTTATGTATCCAGACTGTCATTAAGCAGTCAGCCTCCCCTATGCTCATTGTGTGACCTTGCCAGGGGTGCCAGGTCTCGGGAATGTGGGCAGGAGCTGTCAACATTGCCAAACAATGCAGGAAATGGTGCCTGAGCACTGCTCCTCATCGTTTGGAGGCTCCACTGCACTGTTTTCGATGGGGGAAGGGCAGCAATGCCCTGGAAATATATCCTGTCGCTGTTCTGCACCATTTCCCCTGCCTGTCGGGGGGCGGGAATGGCTGGATTGGGGCAAGGTGGTTTGGATGTCGTTCGGCACTTTTAGGTGCATTGTCTATTTTTGGTTCTGATGAATGACATTGCCTCAGGACCTGTACCCCCAGTCCACATGAGTATATGGCCCTTGCCTGCCTGTCCGGTGAGCTCAGGCATTCTCATAGCACACGGAAACTACAAAAAAATCATATTAAACTGCAATAAAGTAAATACAATTCATGGGTGGCTCTACTAGCCACCCGCTATGAGACAAAGAGAAAACGAGCAGAAACGGTGCACCATGAACACGCTGTTTCTGCTCTAGGGGACCTTCTGGCCATCCTTGTCATGCATGAGCCACCCACCATTGCGCTGTCCTCGTCATGCTCGCCATATGCTCGCTCTTGTGCCATGGCCGTCATCGCGCCATGTGCTCGTCGTTGCTGTCTCCCATGTCTTGCTGCCACCTTGCTCATCCCATGACACCTGCCATCATCCCTGTCCTCATGTGCACACCCTAGCCCCGATGTTGTCATCGTGCCTCATGCTGTCCTTGTTGCCCCATTGTAGCCCTGTTGCCATTGTAGCCCATTGTTGTCATAGCCCCGTCCTCCCCCCCCATCATGGTCTTCACCCAGCCTTTGCCCTGGCACCATCATTGTGGCCCCTCTGTCGTGGTCTTCCCCCAGTCGTAGTCTTTGCCTGCCTTCATCCTCATGCCATTGTGGTCTTCCCCCAGTCGTAGTCTTTGCCTGCCTTCATCCTCGTGCCGTTGTGGTCTTCGCCCTTCCTTTGCCCTCCCCAGTCGTGGACATTGCCTTGCCTTGGTCCTCATGCTGTCTTCACCCCTCACGCTGTCATTGTCGCTGAACTGTCGTCGTAGTTGAGCCATTGTCGTGGTTGAGCCATCTTCGTCGTTGTGCTGGCCATGCTCGTAGCTGTGGTTGCCATCCCCACCGTTGTGCTCATTGTTCTTGCTGTTCTGCTTGTTCTGCTTGTTGGTCTCACTGTTCTGCTCATTCTGCTCACCATTGTGCTGTTGTGCTTGTCCTTGTGTCATGGTGTTGTCCCTGCACTGTGCCTCCATTGTGCCATGTGCTTGTTGTCATGCTTGCTATGGTCGTCCTGGCACCGTCGTTATCCTTGTGCCATGGGTGTCTTTTCACCGTGGCCATCCTTGATGTCATCGTTGTTGCCTGCTCCAAGACTCACCCCTCTTCATGTTTGCTTGGATGGCCTTGACCTGAAACACCACCCCATCCACACACTACACAACATCTGTACAATGCCGTGCCTCCACAGATCAGGCAGAGGAGATGGGGCAAGAGGCGAGGGAAGACGAGGTGGTGGTTCAGGACAAAGCACCCATAACCTCGTTCAAGGGGAGGGGGGCGAGGGCAAAGGGTGAAGGGTGAAGGCAAAGGGCAAAGGGCAAAGGTGGAGGGCAAAGGTGGAGTGGAGGCGAAAGGCAAAGGGCAAAGGTGAGAGGGGACGAGGTGAGGGCGAGAGAGGGCCAGGGCCAGGGCAAAGAGAAGGCGAGGGTGAGAGGTGGGGAGACAACAGGAAAAGGAAGGAGAGGTGGTGGTGTCAGCGGCAGAACAGATGGAGAGTGACACCTGCATCCCTGTTGAAGGGGTGGGGTGGGCGATGGGCACGAGATCCAGGGCATACAGCGGATGGTGTGGGGGACGCTAGGTGGACAGGGGGGAGGTCATGCCCTGCCCACATCCCTGTTGAAGGGGAGGGGGGGAGAAAATGAACATCAACATTCATGAGCCTAATATGAATTAAAGCCTGTGTTAGAGTATATACTTGTAAGAAAACACATTACTTACCTCTTTTGCAGCTTTGAGGCTTCATTTGAGGTGCTGAACGGCGAGGGGGGTGGCCAGGTGGTGGTTGAAGATGAGGATCAACAATGCTTGTTGTTGTTGATTGTTTATCTGGCAGATGCCATGAGCAATGTGATTGGCTGGCGCTTGCAGTCCGGCCAGCCCACATTCCACTCGTCGACCGCAGAATGGCTCAGATGCTCGAGGCAAGGTGAAGTTCATTATTTTTAGCATCGGTATTTAGTTAAGCTACTTCAATCTATGCATTTATAACTGTCTGAACATAATTTGAGAGTGAGAACCCGCTGAGAATTTGGGCTGGTGCCCCGCCATGGTGATTTTCGTTTTCCTGGGGTTCCAACCCTTCAAAAACCACTCGTTGGACAAGCTGAAGCTCCGAAGTAGCTCTGTATTTTGAGTCCCAGAGTAAGTAAATACAACATATCAAAATTTGAGTCTATATCTCCAATGTAGATCTTGTGCTACATTCCAGTGTCTGAAACGCGACACATCTTGAGTTGATTTCACTTTAGAATCCACCTTGTCATTTGCAGTTCCTCAGAATATACTCTAAATTTAATAAATTAGTCAGGGGAGCTCTGCTTATCAGTACTAATATGAAGGGACATCCTATAAACTATTTTGGTAGATTTATTCAGCTTGCTTCCTCTCCTAGAATCTTGCATACATTAGAGATAATCCAATATTTGGCACAAGCACAAGATGTTTGTTCACATAAAATATTCTGCCACAGTTGGATTACCTTCATAATGATTTTTTTGGTATACCTACTTACTAGTAACATTTTATGATAATTTGAATAGAGATAGAGTGTGATCTACGTTCACCGGAGACGTTCCACGGTTCGATGACGGAATGGAAGGAGATTGGGCTGCCTATCCCAGCCAATGGGATGCGTGGCCAGAAATTGCTGAACAGTGATCAACAATGTTCAACATTGTTGATCCTGGTCTTCATTCACCACCACCGCTCACCCCCCCCCTTTGCAAATCAGCCCCGAAACACGACAAAACAGTATGTCGATGTTTTTCTTACCTAGCTGTATGCCTACTAAACTACTTTTGCCCTCACAGGAGACAACACGACCAAGCTGCCGTGTGCCCCTCCCCTCCCAACAGGGATGTGGGCTGGCGCATTCCCCATCCCTCTCCCTTGAATCCACGCTCTTGCCCACCCTCCCTCGCCCATCTCACACATGCCCTCTCTCGTGTCTGCTGTCTCACCCATGAATACTTAGTTCACGGACGTCAATTTTGATCGGTGTTCATTTTCTCAGTGTCTTGCACCCCTCCCCTTCCGTAGGGATGTGGGCAGGGCACGATTGCCCTTTGGCCACTCTGCACCAACCTGTCCATCCGTCCTGCCAACTCTCTCTTGCCCATCATCACCCATCACCTGCGCCTTGCCCTTCACGCACCCCACCCCTTCAACAGGGATGTGGGTGATCCCCTTTGTCAACCACCCACCAGCAGACACTCTCTGCTGTCTCCCCTCCCCTTCAGCCAGGATCAGTCCAACAGCGTGAGGGTGATGCGAAGACAACAAAGCAGCCAAGACACTGACGTGGCCAAGACAATGACCAAGCGAGGACGAAGATGGGGTGAAGACGGGGTGACAACATTGGCGAGGATGGGCGGGGAATGACGGGGCGAGGACAATGACGGGGCAATGAGGACAGTACAAGGAGGGTGAAGGGATGACAGCATCATGAGGATGACAGGGCGAGGACGATGGGGGGTGTGAGGATGGGGCGAGGATGATGACTGCGTGAGGACAGGTGAGGATGACGACAGCATGAGGACAGGGGAAACACAACGATCAGCAAGTGGGTGACGACAGTGACAGCGAGTAATGATGACAGGAGCAAAGTATGACATCAGCAATGAGGAAGACGACAGCTGGGGAAGACAAACAATGGGGAGGGAGGCGGAGAGGAAGACAACAGGTGGGAAGATGATGGGGAAGATGTCCCGGGGGAAGGCGACAGCGAAGATGAACGGTGGCAGTGGTGGAGGGAGATGGGAGCAAGCAAGAACAACGACAGCGAGAAAGGACGACTACAACAGTGAAGAAGGACAAAGGACGATGGCAGCAAGGATGGATGACAGTGGCAAGGCAAGGACCAGTGCACTGCAAGGACAACCACGATGAGCATGAGGCCCAATACGGTGCGAAGACCAGCCGAGCACCAGGACAAGCACACTGCAAGTACCGCCATAGTGGAAGGACGAACACAGCACAGTGCAAGGACACCACCTGCTGCCCGTTCCCTCCTTGCTGCCACCTCCATTCCCTCTCTTGCATCATAGGTGGAGTCACATCATCCTTGAGATGGTGTGTAATGCAGCACAACGGATTTTGGGCAGTGAAAGGGGTAGCATGGTGGGGACGGTTTGTATGTAGACCATCCACGTATGACGACAGCAGCGATGGCTGGTGAGGAACGACAGCAAGGGACAATGGCAAGGGACAATGATAGAGACAGCGGTGAGGAATGGTGGGCAGCAGAGGTGACAGTGAGCATGGCAAGAGGCCCACGAGAGAGCCACCAGGATGAGCACACTGTGAGCACCAGTGCGGCGCGAGGCCACCAAGCAGAAAACAGTGTTTCATGACATGCCATTTTCTTTCTGTCTCACATCAGGTGGCTAGTAGAGCCACCTGAATCCTGTATTTATTTTATTTCAATTTAATGTGAATTTATCATGAAATTTTCGATGGCGCTGCAGGATGAGCAGAGGGCGGGCACACTGCACTATCTCGGGGCCAGAGATCCATAGACCCACGTGGACTGGACTAGAGGTTCCGAGGCTGATGTCATCGCCCTGGACCCAAAAATAGACGATGCAACTAAAAGCTCTGAACAACATCCATCCAACCTCTCCCCAATCCAGCCATTCCTGCTCCCCAATGGGCAGGGGAAATGGTAGAGAACAGTGATGAAATATATTTCCAGGGCATTGCCGCCCTTCTCCCACTGAAAACGGTGCCCAGGAGCCCCCAAACAACAAGGAACAGTGCTCGGACACCATTTCCTGTGTTGTTTGGCACTGTTGACAGCCCCTGCCCACATTCCTGAGACCCAGCACCCCCGGCAAGGTCACACAACGGGCACGGGGCAGGCTGACTGCTTAATCACAGTCTGGATACATAAGTTAAGTCTACTTAAACACAGTATTTGATATAGAAATGTAGTGTACATGGCTGCTTAATGTGCACCATTTGCAGCCAATCTGGATGCTTTGGTGCGCCAATAACCTCATTGCCCTCCATGCTCATGGTGGACGGTGTGTGTCTTATAAAATTCCAAGGTGTTTCTTGAAAAAACAAAATATCAAATTTGGTTTTACAAATTTTGAGCAGTGCATTGACATGGGCATAGGTATGGTGAATGTTCTGACAATAGATACATAATCCACTACTTAGATCCTGTAGGTTTCCCAACATTAGTCTAGGTTCAGGGGTTAGTAAGTTGGCGGCGAGCAGTGTGCTCATGTACCTGATGATACTCGGCCATGATCCACTCATGGTTGTAGTGATGGGCCCAGAACTTGCATGAAGCTGAGTTGGCAGTGTGGTCCTTGTGGCAATTAACACAGCGGCCCTTGTGGGGGCAAGGCTGGTCACGAGGGGTGGGCGGCACAGGGGGCTTCGCTTTCGCGTTCCCCTTGCAACATCCCGCATGTTGATGATGCTCTTTCTGCTTGTGTGGACCTGAACAGATAGGGCAGGAGAGTTGTTTCACCTTGCAGGTGATGGTAGAATGACCCCACTTCCAGCAGCGCTGGCAGAGCGGGACCCTGGTGTGTCGCGCAGCGGGCCTGATTGCGCAGGACCACCCAGCAAGGAAAATTGGTTGGCCAAGGGCCTTCTTGGCATGGGTTCCCTGCTGGGAGTCCCAGATGTTGCAGTAGACGGTGCACGATGTGGAGTGCGCTGAGTCGCAGTCGATCCAAGGCTTGGTGCTCAGATATGCAAAGACCTCAGCATGAACCAAGGTACGGAGGGCCTTCTCAAGCGCCTCCTGGGTGATCTTCAGCCCTTTGGGGTCGAAGTAGGGAACATTGAGGATCTTAATAAAAGATGTCGACGATGGGAGCACGACCTCGAACGGGGTACCTGTTGGGAGGCTTTCGTGGATGAAGTTGCGCAGTACGTCCAAGTCAGACGGGCTGGCAACAGCGGGGGTGACCAACAACAAGCCGTCGTAGGTGTGGACAATGGAGGTGACCTTCAACATAGAACGGCCATCCCTGAGGTACCCGTTGGCCGCACGCACGGCCGACTCAGTGAAAAACTTTGTGAGGTTGGGAGGGGTACCCCTGAACAACACAAGAACCTGCTTCTGGGTGGGGCCCTCAGAAGTGAAAGAGGGGATGGAGCGATGAGTTGAAGTCTTCATCGGCCCCATCAGGAATGAGGGTGGAGGAGAAGGCCTGTGACGCTGCGGTCCCAAGCCAGGAGCAGCCATGTCAGCTATAATTCTGTATCAAACACTGGGTTTAACCAGTGTGAACTCATAGATCAGGACTGTGATTAAGCAGTCAGGTTTTCCAAGGCTCCTGGAGGGAGTTTGCTGAAGATGCTGGGGCTATAGAGATTTGTTTGGAGGTGGGAGGGGGTAAATAAATGACCAAACAACCCTCCCGGGGGTGGGGTGGGGGTAGGGTAGGCCTGTGGAGGCAGGAGGGGTGGGAAAGGCATGGGAATCTGTCCAAAACAGGCAGGAATGGTGGGGAATGCATGATAGGGGCTAGTGGGATGGCAGGGTGGGTTCTGGGTGCGGCAGGGGCCTAAAGATGGGTTGGGTGGGGCTAAATATGCATGCTAATAATTGTCATGGCCCCCACGGGGTGCGGGATGGGCTGGGGGAGCCAAAAATGCGAAAAATCCGGAGACTTTTGCATTTTTAATGCAAAACAATTGAATAACAAATTGAAAACTTAACATTTCAGTGTGAAACTTTGGGGACCTTTGTATCTATAGTGGGGGGTGCTTCATGAATATTTTGAGTATTTATTATGAATTATGGGGTGCGCCACACAGCCAGGAATAGTGTGCGTGGCGGGGTTTGATGCGCTTTGCCAAATTTGGCAATATTGTGATGCCTGCACATCCATGCATAATTCCAGCTCCCCCTCGCATTATGTCGCTTAGCTTTGGCTGAGCGAAATGTTGGGTACATTGATACCTTCCTGTAGACCCTCCTATCGTGTGAAACGGATGAAAATTCGTTGAGATATGGCAAACGTGATTTTGGCTACTACAATGCATGGTGCACCCATGCATCCTTGGGCATGTTTAGGCCCATTTAAGTCAGTCAAAAATCATGGAATACATGTCTGAGAGTAGTAGTACCATTGATAATGCCAGAGGGTGTCTGGGTGTAGTATATCTGAGGGGGTATAGGTACACCAGGAGACCCACTCTGGATACCCCACTAAACGTACCTCTGAAAGTCTGAAAGTTGGTACGTGAATAGTGTATATTTATTCATGAATTTAAAATATTTTATCATATTTTTATATTGCCTGGAAGCTGGGTTATTGACCGATTTCCCAGGATCTAAGATATTCTATTAACCTCCAGGATGGGGGGTATGTAAGGCCATGATAAATGACGATAAATGCATAGAAACAGAACGAGGTACTTTGGAGAGCAAGGGAGTGTGTATGTGTAAAGTTATTAAGAGGAGAAGGAGGAGGTAGTCCCCCCTGTTAGCAATCATCTTCTCAATAAGTTTACCAAAAGTGATGAGGAGTACGATAGGCCTGAAGGCCTTCAGTGAGGAGCCATGCTCCATACAAGCCTACAATTTTGTGGCCTCCCTTGGTTAGAGTACCACCCACTTAGACAATATGAAACGTTACTCGCAACGGTCAAAGACTTGGACTGATGCAATAGCACCTAGTCATGATAAGAACGTGCAGCCAGTAATTGTTATAAGTGTCACCTTTGACTAGGGACATGATGATCAATGGTGCTTAATGTGCTATTACCCAAAGACTAGTATACCCATACACCACAGAGTCATAAACCAAAGCATGGTCTATTAATTTGTCTATGAGACCATCTAAGTGTGAGAAGCCAGCATAGTCGAACAAGTAAAGAAGCAGAGGCGCTAAATGCAATATGAGGGTGATCTGGCATTACAAAAGCGAATGTAGTGTCACAATCCAAGGACTATGAAACATACTGGAGGGTTAAACCATTCCACCAGAGTAAGGAACAGCCCATCAAAAGTCAACACCATTACATTAATATCACAGTATGCCATATTGCATTAGAGCGCTAATTGGCCAAGACAGCAAACCAAGTGAAGTCTTGAGGATGAGTCAGGGAGTTCCATGCGCACACACGGGATAACTTAACCATGATAAGACTGATATCATGGTCAGTCAAGCCAAGGTCCACTGTTACGGACACTGTCAGTCTTGGCAGACTACGCGTCATACCCCCATAGTTAGGCTATGACACACAAAGCGATTGTGGTGTCAGCATTGCAATCAATGGCATAGCCTTCCCCTGCTGAAGTCTGTATGGCTTGTCTGGTGCCACTGACAATGAATAAGTCCATAGTAGCCATAACCGCTTGTAGTCGAACACCCAGAGGCTATTGTACGAGGGCCGTCCACTACAAGGAGCTTAGATGCTAAGCGACGCTGAACTATGCCACAACGTAGTCCAGGGTTCGGGCATCCGGTTCATTCGACTCAGTGGATGTCATTTGTATAAGGTGATAAGCCAAGTCAATCTTATTGCAAGTGTGAAAGCGATAAGAAGAACAGTAGATTAAAGCTGAACTATTACAACAAGTAGTTACAAGCTTAAATACTACCAGAATACAAATAAGCACAATGCGCCATCAATGCATAAGTAATACAACTAGTAATAGTCCATATCGAGTGACTAATCTAGTAGTCCATATAAGTCAAGCATATGTAATCAAGCATATTACTAAGAAAAGAGAAAAAGAAATGAAAATGCCATATTACATAATTGAGCCATAACATCCACCAAGAGTAGTGAAGCGGTCTTGTTACCACGCAATGCCTTCTGAGAATGATGGATGGAACCAAAATGGTCATAGTTACTCGTCGGGGATAATGCCTGATTAGTGCTGGTGGTGTTGGTCCATGCTGTTCTCGTGATAAAACACCACATGCTTCGTTTCAATTTGCATATCTAGCACATGGTACATTACTTGGCTCAGACTCTTAGATACTGGATACCCCTAATTGTGTTTGTATAAAAAACCTCGAATAGTTTAGTTTAAGCAAGCAATCTTTACCCCCCAGAATCTGATTTTTAGTTCGGCATGATTAGCTTTGTGTGTTGAGTTCAGGGCAAATTGAGAGAACGAGACAAGTCAAGCAAAGAGTGTTCAAAGTCAAGTTTCCACGATAAGCTTCCAAGTTGGTCAAAGGACCATTAAGCCAAGTGCCCGAGTACTGTAAGTCGGTCTGTGTACCGTAAGTCAGTCAAAGGGATAAGTTTAAGTCAAGGGCAATTGAGCCATTAGAAGTTAAGTCAAGAGAATGAAGTCTGAAGGCATTTTTGAGTTTCTAGTTGAGTTAAGTCAACCAGTTCAAGTCCATCATAAGAAACAACCCACATCACACCAAATACCATCCCCATCATACATCCCTGGGTTCTCGGGCATTAGAGTTTGTTTTGCTAGTCAATCTGACTTGTGATCAAGTCCCTCAAATAGCGTCGCTATCACGTTAGTCAACGGTTCCATCGTGTTCAGTTGTATACTGTAAATCATCACCCTCCTTATCAATTATGAATACTATTGATTGGGTAGTAGTCTGGTCAATAAGTTGTGTTTTCTGCAAGGTCGTCACTCTAGACACTTTGTAGGCTCACTTCCACAGCTACCTCTTCAATCGAGCCCACTGCAAGGGGGGGTTGGTAATTGAACAAAAAGAGAAACATTGATATCACGATTTAGCACAGAGAGCTCATAAGCGAGTTAAATGAACAAAGACATTTGGTCTCCTACAATTTGAAAAAGCTCTATCAAGTGAAGAACTCATTTGTATTGAAAGAGCACAGCAGGTTCATTACTCAAACCAAATCAACCGGTCCTTTCACTTAACAACACTGTTGAGAAAAGGGACATCACACAAAAAGTCACCTTAACATGATAAAGATCAAAACAGCTAGTTCAGGTTCTAAACCTAGATCTACCTGAAACTCTCAACAAGCAGGTACCAAACCTAGATCTACCTGAAACTCTCAACGAGCAGGTACCAAACCTCCATTAGAAAAGCATACTATTTTGTCATGAGGAATAGCAGAGATCAAAGCTAGACATCAAGACTGTGTCCAAGCAAATCGGAAACTTTCGAGAGGCTAGGGAGCTAATAGCTTTAGCAGTAAAGTGAATAGCCCAAGAGCAAAATTCACAAGAAATTTCTCTTAGCGTGTTAACAGAAGTCACTGAGTCCGAAGTCAGGGTAGAAATTAATCTGGAAGTTATCGTGACTATGTCGAACACCATAGCTACCACAGAACAAACCATAGAGACAGAACAGGATGAGATGACCAATAAAATGCCTGCGCCCTCTAGCAGGGATGCGCCTAGATTCAATCCTGAGAAACCCTCAGAGTTGATCAGGTACATCTCAAGCATGGAAGACCTGTTTACTGCGGCATCAGTTACAGAGGACAAAAAGAAGAAAAAGGACCTTTGTAGGTATGCCCCTGCTAGCTGCGAGCATGAATGGCAGGCTTTTGTCACCTATAAGAAAGGTACCTATGCAGAGTTTAAGGCAGAGTTAATCGCGAGTTACCCGGAAGCGAGTCATTTGACCAAGGGGTTGCTAGGCCGTTTGAAAGCAGTGTGTGTGGATGCAAGAGGGGTCACTAGTGATGATCTTCTCTCAGATGAGTTCTGAAGGCAGGTCGCTAGCACCTTGGCTATTAGGGCCGAAGTGAAGAGACAAGCTGTGACGGGCACTGAAGGGCAGACTCAGCGCAGAGTAGAGGATCAGCACACATGGAGTGAAGTCATAGATGCCATGGTCTCTATCACAGAAACATACCAAAATCCCTTGGGATCAGTGGGACATCTCAGCAGCTTGCTGGGCACTTCTATCAGCTATGAGAATGTATCAAACACTGTATTTTTACAGGGTAGCCTCATAGATCAGGACTGTGTTTTTACAGTCCACCTACTGGAGTTCATTGGGATGGCCTTGCCGGATGTGCTGGGGCTCACGGCTGTGGGCAGGACCTGTCAACACATGCAAACAACACAGGCAAAAGTGCCTGAACACTGTTCCTCATCATTTGGGGTGCTCCTGCCCCCGTTTTCAGTGGGGAAAAGGCGCCAACGATGAGGAAACATCTTTCCTCATCATTGTGCACCATTTCCCCTGCTGTTTGGGGGGCGGGATAGGCTGGATTGGGTGGGGGTCTTTTGGATGACACAGCATTTTTTTGGGTGTCGTCTATTTTTTAATACCGTCATGCTCGGCGAGCTTGAACTTCCTGAGGGCACACCAAAGAATGCAAAATAAATTCATATTAAATTGCAATAAATTAAATATGCTACAAGGGTGGCTCTACCAGCCACCCCCCTGTGAGATAAAGAGAAAACGAGCAGAAACGATGCGTGTGTGGCATGTCGTTTCTGCTCGGTCAACCTGCCGCACCATGCTGGGTCTGCACCTCATGCGTCCATATCCACCCACTGCCATCGCCGCTGTTGTCGACCTCACGCCCTCCTCGCCTTGATACCCTGCTCCTCGACTACCTGCTCCTTGTCATTCTTGTATCCCTCGCTCCTGCTTGCGCGTCATTGTCACCGATTCGTGATCGTCCTTGCTGGCAAGCCCCATCCCGTTCATTGATGTGCTGGCCAGTCTGTGGTTCTCCTGCCCAACTCATTGTTGTGCACGGTCGCCCATGCTCATGGTGGTTGGTTTTGCCGGTCCTTGTCGCATTGTAGTCACCCCCTGTCCTCCATCTCTGCCCTTTCAACTCTCTGCAGCCCAGAATCCATCGTACGACATTACACTGTGCTGGTTAGACACTGTGCTCCACGTACAATGCAAGATGGGAGGAAAGAGATGGGTGGTGAGGGCGAAACGGGCGGTGTTGGCGAGGGCAAGATGGGCGGTGAGGGCAAGAGCGAAACAGGCGGCATTGGTGAGGGCAAGATGAGGGGCAAGGGGCAAGGGCGAAACAAATGGTGTCAGTGAGGGCAAGATGAGGGGTGGTGGCTAGGGCAAGATGAGGGGTGGTGACTAGGGCAAGATGAGGGGTGGTGGCTAGGGTGAAATGGGTGGTGTTGGTGAGGGCAAGATGAGGGGTGAGGGGCGAGGGCGAAACGAACGGTGTTAGTGAGGGCAGGATGAGGGCCGAGAGCTGAGGGCGAAACAAGGGGTGTTAGTGAGGGCGAGATGAGGGGTGAGGGGCGAGGGCGAGATGAGGGGTGGTGGCCAGGGGGAAATGGGTGGTGTTGGCAAGGGTGCGACAAGCGGTGTTGGCAAGGGCGAGATGAGGGCCGAGGGCGAAACGGGCGGTGTTGGCAAGGGCAAAATGAGCGATGGTGGTGTTACCATGAGTTATCGAGGGAGGGTGTACCAGCGTCGTCTGTGGTGGCACAGACAACGCCGATTGCCCTGGGATGGGGTACAGGAGAGGGGGTTGAGTGGGCATCACAAGGGAAACCGTGAGACCACATATCTTGTGGGTTTGCCCCTCATACTCACTGTGCCTGAGCTCGTATACCTGCCTGCTCCTCCCACTCCTCCAGCCTTGGTGCTCGTTGCATTGTTTGTTTGCGAGCCCACCTCCCTGGTCAAAGGGGAGACACATATGGCACGTATAGAGTGGATGTGGGGTGTTGAGAGCGAGGGATCAGGGGAAGAGGGAGGGCATTGGTGGAAACGCAGAAACACCGGCCCACATCCCTGTTGAAGGGAAGGGGCATGCAGCGGGATGGCAGGTGTTGTGCATGTGAGAGGGGTTGCCCTGAATGATAGAGTACATAGGTAAGTAGTTTTAGTGATAGAAAATGACAATATGTACCTTGTATGCGACCAGCGCGAGGGTTGTAGCTCGTCTTGAGGGGTAGGGGTGTGCCAGGTGGTGGTGAAGAGCACAAATCAATGATGTTAAACATCATTGATTGTGCTCTCGGGATTTGCTGTGGACAAGCTGATTGGCTGGACTTACCGGCCTGCCTACTCATGACTTCAAGCAGGACATTGTTGATGTCCTCAAAGGTTACAGGTGGCTTGTTTCTGCAAAATGATTATATAGCATCTATCTACAAGTAACCTAGAGCCTATTTCTTATACTTGAATGGCATGAATCTATGTAGATATATTGGAGATGAACATGTGAGGTGTTGGTGCCACACACTACAATGAAAATCTGACTGGTGAAGTGAGTACTTGAAGATTGTGATGCTTAAAATCCAGAAATGCTTTAGGGGAAGCTGAAATGTTCTAGAGTACATACTCCATGTTGAACTCCTCAAGTACATAGTCCTATTTCACTATTTTTTTACTGTTGTACAACCAAGTAAGTATTGCACAATGACTGAAATCACCATGCAAGCAGCTCATGTGGGTTATTCTGGGCTCAATCATCAAGAGATCTCTGTGAAACTCTATATACACTATGTAGTTTATGTAGAGATAAATATCCGATACTTATTTTGTGGTTTAATGGTCTAAGTGTGAGCCCACAGACATCCCGTTTCATGAAAGCAGAAGGCCGGGGTTTGGAACAGAGACCCATCATCCAATCGGAGGGCATATGGCATTGGCTGAAAAACAATCAATGATGTTGAGCCATTGTTGATCACTGTCTTGACACCCACCCACATCTTCCTCCACCTCTCCTGCTGGCCATCCAGACCTGGAAATGTGTCAAAAGGGTATGTAAAGTATTTTTTATATCTTTTTATTGACTAATTACATTGTTTTGTCTCATCAGAGCCCGCCTGCGTCGCAGATGATGTGGCGACTCGACTCGACCCTGCTGTGTGCCCCTCCCCTCGCATAGGGATGTGGGCTGGCTTCCAGCCCCTATGCGCGTCTTCCCTCAACATCCCCTCTCCCCCACAACCCAGGTCTCAGCCCCATCGCTCGTTTCTTGCACCGCCCTTGCCCCCACCTCACCCCTCCCCTCAACAGGGATGTGGGTCTTACTTTTCATCCCAGGACCCACTCTCCCCTGCTCGCCTGCGCCTCTTCTCCCTTCCCTTCCCCCTCCTTTGCCTCTCCCATCCGCAGAGTCACAGCGCCTATGAGGTGCTGTGTAATGTTTGGACCTCGTCTCGCCTGTCATCCACCCCTCCTCTTCAAGCGAGGACAGGGCAACAAGGAGGAGGAGGAGTGACAATGGGGTGATGATGAGGACGAGGACGAGGACAGGGCGACAAGGACGACAACGGGGCAATGATGAGGATGAGGATGACAACGGGGCAACAACGGGGCAACAATGAGGACGGCAACGGGGCAACGACAGGGCAACGGGGATGGCGAGGACAGGGCGGCGAGGATGACAAGGACAGGGCAATGAGGACAGGGCAATGACAGGGCAACGAGGAGGACAGGGCAATGAGGAGGACGGGGTGATGAGGAGGACGGTGACAGGATGAGGATGAGGACAGCGATGGGGCAACAAGGAGGCCAGGGTGACGATGGTGTGACGATGACAGGGCGATAACGGCGTCGCTGACCAGGAGATGACGAGGCAAGGGCGACGACGAGATGAGGGAAAGCACCGCGCAAGGACAAACACAGCACCAACCATGACCATGGCACGAGCATGACGGTGCAAGGAGGGCCGCAGCGTGAGTGTGAGCGAGCACAACACAAAGCTGAGAACAACCCGCCACAAGGCAAAGGAAAGGATGAGGAGCACACCGGGAGAGGGGATGACGCCAGCACAGGGTGGGGCCCACCTGAGCAGAAACGCCGCATTCATAACACGCTGTTTCAGCTCGTTTTATCTCTACAGATCTCAGAGCAGGTGGCTAGTAGAGCCACCTGCATCATGTAATTATTTTATTACAATTTAATACAATTTTTTCTCTTTTTTTCATATGTCCTGTGAGCATGCCTGAGCTTGCCAGACGTCATAATAGACGACGGTGAGCATTATTTGCCCAAGCTATCCTAAGAACCCTCAGAAGCTTTTGGGTAAATTCTAAAAATAACTGGTGTCCAAAAAAATGCTGCATCATCCAAAAGACCCCCACCCAATCCAGCCTATCCCGCCCCCCAAACAGCAGGGGAAATGGTGCACAACGGCGAGGAAATATGTTTCCTTGCCATTGGTGCCTTTTCCCCACCAAAAACAGGGGCAGGAGCACCCCAAATGATGAGAAACAGTGTTTGGGCACTGTTGCCTGTGTTGTTTGTGTGTGCTGACAGGTCCCACCCACAGCCACAAGCCCCGGCACACCCAGCAAATCCATCCACAGGCCTCTCTGTAGGTGGACTGTAAAAACACAGTCCTGATCTATGAGGCTAGCCTGTAAAAATACAGTGTTTGATATAGAAATGTAGCGGACATGGCTGTGCTGGGAGTGTCTGACAATTGCGAAAAGACTAGAGCCTCTTTGGATGACTTCTCCCCAAAGATGGAAGAAAGCATGGCGCAATTAGTGGACACACTTAACTTGCAATTAAAGCAGCATGTGAAACTAGAGGAGAAAGTAGATCGTTGTATGACTATGGTACAACAACACCAGCAACTGTGAACCCAGCAGCTTCACAATTTGGCTACTGCGGCAATGCACAATGTGGGATACCAGCATCGAGAGCCTTTCTGGGCAGTACCTGCTGAAGAGAGTCATTGTTATTATTGTGGTGGATATGGACATGGGGTAAAAGCATGCCCCGAGGCTAATAAGCACCTTGATTTGAAAATGACTATGCGAACAGGTGTTGGACAGGAGGCTAGGATAGTTTTGCCTAATGGGCAGCCATTACCGCAAGAAGAGGGTAAAACGTACAAAGAGGGAGTAGAAAATTGGCATAGAAATAATCCTAGGACGGGTTTGATTCTGATGTCACAGCTTCCTAAGGGTACCTTTGTCTATGAGGCCAAACAGCCTATTGATGTTCTAGTGCAATCGCAGACTGGCCACTCAGAAGATGACATGGCAAGGGCACTAAACGAACTCATGGCAAAATATGGCATGGACATGGTAGACCGGGTAATAAACGAGTCCTACTTTATTTGAACAAGAGCATGTGGACTAGAGGATGATTTGTCAGAGTCAAATTTCTAGGTGGTTCAAGGAAGGTTGGTCAAGGGTCCAGTAAGCCAACAACTGCTCCTGGAAAACCTATGACACCCGAGGACCGTACAAAGACAAAGAGTCGCTGAGCTGCTGTTGAAGAAGTAGAAGAAGACGATGACATTAGTGTTGTGGAAGAGATAGAACCAGTAAAGAAAGGTCTGCCAAGGCACTGAGCCGTTATTGCGGAACGCAAAGAGATACCAAAAAAGGCAAATGGCTATACAAAGACTAACAGCCTTCCGTATGTGTCAGTGCCGCCTTTAACAAGGGTATCGTGACAAGACAAACTGACAGTCGGGTTTGACTTACCAGCTAAGAAAACTGGGCCAGCGTATCAAACTCACGCCCCTGTTGAACAAGATGCAGAACTAGAGAGGGTTGTGCACAATATCATGGCTGCCATGTTAAACCTGCCTCTCAAAAATGTAGTAGGGAATTCCCCCACGATAAGAGAAGAACTTAAGAAAGTGTTCACTAGAAATAGGCAGGCACTAGTCCAAGAAGTCGCAGAGGAAGAAGGTGATGGCAACATTTATGGTCCCGAATCAGAAGCGACCGAGCCAGCCATGTCAGCTAGAAATCTATATCAAGCCCTGTGTTTAAGCAATGTGATCTCATAAGTCCAGCCTGTGATAAAGCAGTCAAGCTTTCCGAGGCTCCTGGGATGAGTTTGCTGGGGATGCCAGGGCTATAGGGATTTGTTTGGAGGTGGGAGGAGGATG